GGATGTTCAGCACATTCGGATATCAGGAACAGATTGGGAATCGAAAAAGTAGGGAAATTAGTGTTCCTCTTCAGACTTTATAACGAAAATGAAGAGAAAGAGAAGTGACTTCCGTTTTAGTATTATTGAGTTTACCATTAATAGTACGTACTTTCCTGACTGTGTTTCAATTCCAAATTAAAATCAAATCCTGAGCTTCAGTCATTTATTGTCTATTTATCAATTAAAAAAACGTTTCGGTGTTTTCCACCATCATCAGTTTCAATGTGTAGCGTTGTATATTTTAGAAATATATGCCAAGGCTTAAAGTAGCAACAACGCTACACATTGAAACTGATGATGGTGGAAAACACCGAAACGTTTTTTTAATTGATAAATAGACAATAAATGACTGAAGAGCCCAGGATTTGATCTTAATTTGGAATAGAGACAATAAATGACTGAAACCCAGGAATAGATTCGATTTGGAATTCTTTGAGTTTTTGAGTATTTAGACTCGACTAATTGCTGGTAAATTTGCTTAGGGCCGTGACTGAAAATGCCGAGTTGCTGTTCGCCAACGGGCCAGAGATTCGCGCTTTCGATCTGCTGCTGAGGGACGAAAAGGGCATCGTGAACGAGGAGAAACGCATTGAAGCAGTGGACTACAATCCGCAGAGCAAGATGATATTCTGGGCGGATTCCTACGATAAAACCATCAAGCGAAGCTACCTGCCAACCGCATTGAGTGGAGAAGTGAAGACTGGATTTGCGCAGGATTTGGAAATGAAGGGCAGCGCTAAACCGACGGCTATCGCTGTTGATTGGGTGGGCGACAACCTCTACTGGGCAGAAACCGATAGGGCTGGCTCCAAACCCAAAGGTAAACAGCTGCAGATTTTCGTGGATAGTTAAGGCAACTGGAGACTTTCCAGGGCGAGTGATGGTGGCCAAAACGGACGGTCGCTACCGCAGAGCGCTGGTCAACGCTGGACTGGAAAACCCGACATCTTTGGTCCTCGACCCGCAAATAGGGCGGATGTTCTGGACCGACTCTGGATCAGCCCCCAAAATCGAAGTTTCCTGGATGGATGGCTCCAAGCGCCGCCCCCTAATCACCGATGAAATCCGCCATCCTACTGGCCTGGCCATCGACTATGCTGCAGGACACGTTCTCTATTGGGTGGACACCAAGTTGAACACCATCGAAACCATGAAGCCAGACGGTAGGGCCTGGGCTGGATGTTTCGCTTATCCATGGGTTAATTGCTGGAAATTTCCAGGCTCCATGAGAAAAGTGATTCTCAAAGGCGAGATGCTGAAGCACCCGATTTCGCTCGATGTGTTCGAGAACTTCTTGTACTGGATCACCAAAGACACTGGGGAAGTCGTCAAGCAGGACAAGTTTGGCCGAGGCGTGCCGGTGATCATTCAACGAGACCTGCTGAACCCTTCAAGCATTAAAGGTGAGCGAGTGGAGCTGAGTTTCCAGGAAATGAGACTGAGATTTGGGGGTTTTCTTTAGTTCTGCACGATTTGAAGTACAACACCAGCCTGCCGAACTCCTGCCGGGGAAACCAGTGCTCCCATCTTTGCCTCATTGTGCCCAACGGACACAGATGCTCATGTCCCGATTCTTCGATTATGCCTTCGCACAAAACCAAAGCCGAGATTATATGCGATGCTCCCATAGGTGAGTTTTTTACAGGGTTATTCACGCTATACGGCTAGCCCGTTTGTTTTTTGCAAAGTATTATTTGATGAGCCCACAGACGCTTATCGGGTGCACATTTTAAAAACATTTTTGTAAAGTACATAGTGTCCCAAAAGCCTCAAAAGTATCAAAGTTGAGTTTTTTTAAATGAAATACCCTATATATTATTGCAATTTTGGATTATCTGAGCAAAATAAGCGTTCGTTTTAATAAGATTTATAATGTCTAAATCTAAAGGTTTTTAAAATAATTCGAATTTTATCAAAATCTAATATTATTTTCATGTGTCAAATACTTG